GAAGACGGCGATGCCGGGCAGGAAGATGGGGGTCCCTCCCCTGATGCGACCATCAGCGCCAACACGTCGTCACAGTCGGCGGATACGCGATTTGTCTTCCTTGGCGATTTTGTAGACAGGGGCTATTTCAGTTTGGAGACGTTCACTCTTTTGATGTGCCTCAAAGCGAAGTGGGTACACCACACAAGCTGTCGTGAAGGAACTTTTACTGATTGTCAAACTGCAGATATCCAGATCGAATTGTTCTCGTACGCGGCAACCACGAATCCCGGCAGATCACTCAAGTGTATGGATTTTACGAGGAATGTCAAACAAAATACGGCAATGCGTCTGTCTGGAAAGCGTGCTGCCAAGTCTTTGACTTCCTGGTTTTGGCGGCCATCGTTGACGGCACCGTTCTCTGCGTACACGGCGGTCTCAGCCCCGAGATCAGGACTATCGACCAAATCCGTGTCGTCGCCCGCGCACAGGAGATTCCTCACGAGGGTGCCTTCTGCGATCTTGTATGGAGTGACCCAGAAGATATCGACACGTGGGCAGTCAGCCCCCGCGGTGCTGGTTGGCTCTTTGGCGATAAGGTCGCCACCGAATTCAACCACGTCAACGGACTCAAAACCATCGCCCGCGCCCATCAGTTAGTCAATGAGGGTTACAAGGCAAGTCCAATCGCTATTGTCCGTATGAGTTCGTCCAACTAACAAAGCGCAGTTCCACTTCCCAGAGAAGTCGGTCGTGACAGTTTGGTCCGCCCCCAACTATTGTTACCGATGCGGCAACGTCGCATCCATCATGACGGTCGACACCAATCTCGACACCAAGTTCAGCATCTTTTCTGCGGTGCCTGACGACCAAAGGCACGTCCCCACCGGGCGGAGGGGTCCAGGGGATTACTTCTTGTAAACCCCAGAGGCCGGGTGGTATTTGATGGGAGGGTGTTGTATCTTTACACCTGTTTATGTAGTTCTGTCTAGAGGCTCCAGCGAACATGGCGTTTTTTTGTAAGGTTCGGGGGTTATGTCTTCGATGTGCATTGGCGGGAGGGAGGAGGCGGAGCGGAGCGTCTTGTATATTATTTAGGTCATGATGGGCTCGATACCCCGATGGCTGCTCATCAATGAAGGTTACAGACGAGTTCAAGGGATGCGCGTCTTTCGTTTTTGATGGGTTCTGCAGATGTCAGGAGGTTGCAGCGCCGTTTGTTCGAACCCGAGCCCCCTTCAAAAGCCCAGCAGCCCTGTTCCTCTTCCACATACGACCATAGGTACTGAAAAGTTCGGGATCCCGTCCGCTCTCCCCTAGACAAACCAGTAACCGCCAGATTAGTAGCTGGGTCGGTGACGACCAGCGAATCCCTGGTGTTGTATGTTTTTTTTTGCCCGGTTGTTCCCAAAGCAGCATCTTTTCGCTTCTTTGAAGCAATTGAATCCCAGCAAACCTGGAATGTGGGTTGCACCGGTTTGGTAAGCCTACTCGGCTCGAGGTCGGAGTTAGGACAGCGGCAGGGCGGAGACTCGGCAATGAGCTCGGAGCTCCGACTAAGACGGGCAGGTCTCGAAGAACAGGAAATTCCTTCGTTTCTCGAACAGCACATACATGGAGACACCTGCCGGCTACCTGAGTTTTTGCCTCATTCCAATTTCGCGTCGTCACACCTTTCCGAAGCTGTTGTGTTTCGCGCCCAGCAGCTTACAAATGCGCCGTTGGACGCTGTTCTTAGGCGGATCCACCTCCATCTTATCAGATCGGTTGATAAAAACCGCCACAACCACCCCCTCGCCTCTGGAGTTGTGCTTCCCCCCACCCCCTTTTCCCGTGGTGTAAGCCAGAAGAGTGTGGCAGTCTGGCGTGCGTAGTAGCACATATCATTCCATAGCCAGGCCTAGCCCCATCCACAGCATGTTGGGGCGGAGCGAGCGCAGTCGCAGTCGCAGCGGCAGCAGTCCCTCGTCGGACAGCGGCGAACACGGAGAACACACTGGCGAGCATGGTGACCGTCCGCCCCCGCGCAAGCGACAGCGCGTGCGTCTATCGTGCCTGGAGTGCCGCAGACGTAAGCTGTCTTGCGATCGTGAGTTCCCTTGCGCGCGATGCTTCCAGTCGGGCACGCCCGAGCGGTGCGAGTACGAAACCCGGCCCGGCCTCGCACCGCCGAACAAGCTCGGGTTAGCCCAGGGTGCCCTCGCCGGCCTCGATGTCCGTCTTTCCCTTCCCAGCACGGGAGGGGAGTCGGCTTTCTTCCGGAAAGATGTCGGCGCAAGGGAGCCCGACCGGATTCGACGCTTGGAACTCGAGGTCGCTCAGCTCAAGGGTTTACTCGCCAAGCAGGTGTCGCTCGATGGCAGCACCGTCAACGACCACTCGCCACCCGTTCATCGGCCTGACGTCGAGGAGGTCGAGGTGGCCAGCACCCCGCCGCCGTACTTCCAGCAGAGTCAGGACCCCTACGCCGACAAGGACGAGTTGCGCTTCTTTCGCGGGAAGGAGTTCAAGACTCGCTACTTTGGTCCTCGGAGCGCATTCATGGCCTTCTCAGAGGTACTGGTCCTCCCCGCCGTCGTTTAGTCTTCTGCGGCGCTGACAAAGTTGTCCCAGCTTGGTGGCTTGTGTCCCTTCATGAAGGAGACGTCCGAAGAGTGGCTTCGACCTCTTCACATCCAACATGACAACAAGGACAGGCAAAAGCGCGCCGAGGAACGCGAGAGGAAATTCCGCGAGCCCGATTTGTCTCTCGAGGCCCTCCTCCCTCCTCGCGAGGAGACCGACAGTCTCGTGTCCATCTACCTCGACCAGTTCGAGCAGATCCACCGCATCATCCACATACCTTCGTTTCGCAGGGGGTATGCCAAGTTTTGGGATCCCAACGAGACCCGGAACGCCACCTTCACTTGTCTGATTCTCTCCATGATCGCCATCACCAGCTGCCTGGATGAGAGTCCGCTACCAAGGAAGTTCGAGAAGCTCGTCTCGAGTTGTCACAGCCGTGCAGTGCGCATGATCGAGGCCTCCGAGCACTTCATGGCCCGTCAGAGCGAGAAACACAGGCGTCTGGTTCACTATCAGATTGCCTGTCTCCTTTATCTGGCAAAGAGGATCAACACGGTCAAGAAGAAGAGGTTCTGGAAGTCAGCGGGTGCCATGACCCAAGACGCAATTTCCGTGGGCCTTCACCGAGAACCCAGCCGCATCGGCCAGAGCGGGCACATCACCCCTTTCAACCAGGAGATGCGAAGGAGGATATGGGCCACCATAACCAGCTACGATGTCCAAGCATCTTTTGACCACGGCCTTCCCACTATCCTATGCTCTCTCCACCAAGACACGGAACCGCCAAGCAACATCGACGATGACGAGTTCGATGAGGATACCAGCACGCTGCCGCCGTCCAAGCCACCCACCGAGTACACCTTCTCATCCTTCCAGAACCTCAGCCGGCAAAGCCTAGCCTTGCGCCTGGAACTCAATCGTGTGCTCACTGGCCCGCCCGAGGACCTGGACTACGAACAAGTGATCCGCTACACAAACGAGATCAACCAAGAGATTGACTCCCTGCCCTCATGGGACGTCGTTTCCGGTGACCGCCTCCGACAAGGCGTTACCAAAACGCCCCTCCTCGCCTATACCCTCCTGCACATTCAGCTTCGACAATACATCATCCCCCTCCACCAACCTTACCTCAAACTCCGCAAGACCAACTCCAAGTACCAATACTCTGAAATCATCTATTACAACGCGGCCCGTGACATGACTCTCCTGAACGACAAGCTCGCCGAACAGTGCATCCGCACCCTCAACTTTCTCCGCGAGGACGCCCTGACCCTCGCTATCAACCTCTGCAGCGTCACCATGCAGCAACCCGTGGGCTCGACCAACATGATCATGATCAACTCGCAGCATACCCTCCAACTGCTTGAGAAGTGTCTCGCCATGAAAGAAGACCGCATCCTCCGTTGCGGAAATAACGAGCCGTGGGGATATTCCATCATGTGCGCCGCCGTGGGCTTACTAGAGGCGCATCTGAACGTCAAGACCTCGGAAGCCGCGAAAGCGGCGTCGGCGGAGAGGTTCATCAATCTGCATTACAAGTTGCTGGCGGGGCAGGATCCGCCGCTCAGTAGCCAGCAGTCGGCAGCGGGCAGTGGTCACCCGTCTGGTAGTGCTGGGGTTCCGGGGAGGTCGGCCACGCCTTTTTCGGCGCTGCCACCGCCGTTGGAGGCTTTTGTGAGGTCCAAAGTAGGAATTCTTTGCTGTGAGTGAGATGTTGTGAGAATTACGACTGACATGGTGGTGTAGTCTGTCACACCGTTCGCAGCCGGGGCGTCGATTACCGGCTCGGCGTTGCAGAATCAGCAGAGTGCTGTCGGAGCTGGGGCTGTTGAGGTTCCTGGCACGCCGTGGTGGTTACCGAGTTCGGACCCGTCGAATTTACCGCAGGTGAGTGTTTTGATGAGGGCTAGAGATTGTCTAGCTGACACTACCATTAGCCCGTAAACCCCGACTTCAACTTTGAAGTTTTGGGCCTGAACTTGAATGAGCTATGGGGGGGTGATTCTTGGGATTGGGACCAGGCGCAGGTCTAACTGGTCGGTCCGTGAGGCTTTAATGACAAGAAGTCTTCCGGCAGAGGCATCAAAAACAGTGAACTTAGCTGGGAGTTGGGGAGAGTGTGTTCGGCGGTAGGCGTAAGGGGTTAGAGAAGGGAACGGAAAACTGGTTCTGCGTTCGCCGCAGGCGTGTAAGGTATGGCAGGTGGGATATACCCGGAATCTTCTCTCGGGAGTGCAATCAAATGAAGTTGCAGCGGACGCATGGATTGCATTTCTTTCTCGCGATGGGTAATTTTATCGAGTTGGCCACGACGGACAGAACTGCACCTGCCGTTGGGTTCTATGTCCCTCGGGGTCGTGCCTTCACTAGTTACTGTGCACCTCAGGTTCCTTCCGCACGCCTTCGCTGCCAGTCGTTGCTTCCTCAGGGAAATAAGTAGAGACCAGTTTCAACAAGCGGGTTTAGCTCAGTTGGGAGAGCGTCAGACTGAAGTACCACGTCATTCAATCGATATTATACAATTGATATCTGAAGGTCATGTGTTCGATCCACATAAACCGCAATCGTTTCTTTTTGGCTGTTGCAACATCGGGTGTTGCAGATGTGGGTGCGGAGGTGTGGAGTTTGGGGTGCATAAAGCTGCCGCGGGTTTCCACTTTTCGGAGCTTGGCTCCGGGGCTTCACGGAGTCTGCAAATATTACCTTTTTTGACCGTAAGACGCAGCGTCCTTGATCTGAGGTAAGTTTTATATGGGTACGCCGGTCATGAATAGGGGAAATTTCTCAGAAGTACCAGCGGTTGAAAGTACAGATCTTGCAATGCGATATTCACAAAGCAGCGAGGGATATACAAGCCGACAACACATCCAAAAAAACAGCTCTCTGTGTATCCAAACTACATCTCTACCCATCACTACTTCGGAAAGTGCAAAGCCTGAGTATACGAATAAGACAACAGTCCCTGCTTGCCCATCTCGCCGCCGAACCCGCTGTCCTTCATTCCGCCAAAGAACGCTCCAAAGTTCGGCCGCTCAAACTGATTAATCCAGACACTCCCCGATTCCAAGCGCCTCGCAATCCTCTCGGCCTGCGCTAGGTCCTTCGAATACACCGATGCGCCCAAGCCGGCATTCGCCAGATTCGACCTCCTGATCACGTCGTCCTCATCCGACCACGACAAAATCGGCAAGATGGGACCAAACTGCTCCTCTTTGACGAGCCACGAGTCCTCCGGCGGCTTCGAAACGATCGTCGGCTCCAGCCAGAACCCCTTTCCGGTTTTGCTCGCCGTGGCTGTGCTCCCGCCCTTGACAATATTGTAGCCGTTCGTCCTGCAATCTTCAATGATCCCCTTGACAACGTCAAACTGCATCTTGTTGTCCAACGGCCCAAACACCGACGGGGCGTTGGCGTCCTCCTGGACGGAATACGACTTCTCCACCTCGGCGACGAGCCGGTCAAGGAACTCATCGTAGATGCTCTCGTGCACGTAAATGCGCTTGCTCGCCACGCAGACCTGGCCGGCATTAAAGAAGCCGCCGCTGGCAACCGAAGGGATGGTCTTGTCGAGATCGGCGTCCGGGCAGACAATGCATGCATCGTTGCCGGCGAGCTCGAGGGTTACCTTTTTGAGCGTCTTTGCGCAGGCGGCCATGACGCGCTTTCCGGTTGCGATGGTCCCGGTGAAAGAAATCTTAGCGATACCGGGATGAAGGGTCATCAAAGCGCCAAGGTCGGCGCCACCGTTAAGGACCTGAAAAACGCCCGGGGGCAAGATGCCCCTGGAGAGTTCACACCATTTCATAACGGCGTAAGGCGTGAACGGAGAAGGCTTGACAATTACGCAGTTCCCGGTGATAAGCGACGAAACGACCTTGAGGTTTGAGAGGATCATGGGGAAGTTCCAGGGGGCGATGGCCGCCACGACGCCGAGAGGAACGTGGGTTGCTACGACGCGCTGGTGCTCATCCTCGTATTGAACCTCGTCCTCGAGAGCCGTCTTGGAGTAGTACAGGCACTGGGCGATGGAGGCCTGGACATCGATGCCGGCAAGAATGGCCTGTGAGAGTTGTTAGTGTTGGGGACAGTGAGTGAGGCGGGTGGGCCGTTCGTACTGATTTGCCGGTCTCCTTGGATAAGATATCGGCCAACTCGCCGGCGTGCTCCTTGATGACTTCGGCCATCTTGACCAGCGTGGTCTGCCTCTCCGCCACGGTGCTCTTTCCCCAGGTGAGGAAGGCTTTCTGAGCGGCGGCCACGGCATCTTCAAAGTCCTCGTTCGTGGCGACGGGGCAGGCCCAGAGCTCGTCCTCTGTCCGCGGGTTGGTCACCGTGTGCGACTTCTCGCTGCCGCGCAGCTCGTCGTTGATGACGTTGAAGAACTGGGGCTGCATCTTGGCGCGCTGCTTTCTAGTCTGTTCCGATGTGAAGTCTGAGAGTTCAAAAATTACTTGGCTCCCTTCGTCAAAAGGGAGACTAAGGTATAGAGCCGGCACGGAAAGGGGGGTAGCTCCTCTTATCAAACACCAGATCAGCAACGTCGGATCTTGCCTGATTGCTCGCCGTTGCCCTCAAGTCCCATGCAAGCAATGGAAGCGCGCGCAGAGGTGTCCTCTCTGTGAAACGAAAAAAGCGCCGAAGGAGTATTCCACCGGCAGTATTGCTGCAAGCCGTCTTGTTGGTCCAATAATACCCGGAACCCATTTTCCCTCGTACCAAGCCTTTCTGCAAACACCTACCCCAAGTGAGATGTGACCCCACGGCAAATGTCGGCCGCGCCTGGGCATCCCGGTTGTCACTCATACTTTGCGAGACCGCGGGTTGGTGGCGGAGACGATGCGGAGAATGAGGGGTTTCCAAATATTGGGAAGGTGCGAGGGGCTCGACGACCTGGGCCAAGCCTTCAGAGGGCTCGATCATCGACGCTGATAATGATCAATGCAAAGGTGAACATGAAACCGACTCTTCAGCCCCCGCCCTACCTCGGCGTGTGTTTGGGAGACTGCTTTCGGTCGACAGGAGCCGGAGATGGCTAATCTCGGGGCCGTCCCACACGTTGGAGTTGAACCCGCTCACCTCGGTGTGCCACCAGCAGTGGGAAACCAGCTGACTGCATGCCCCTATCAATAATCGAAATAATCAACCAAGTAAACATCCCTGGTGGCGGTCGCTCCCAGCAATGCCCTCAACGCCACCTTCAAACAAGCCCCTTCTTCTTGAGCCGCAGACTCCTCTTTCCATCATCACGCCGCTGGTGGAGTTGCCTTGCGCCGTACCCCACCGGCACCGGCATCGCGCGCGGCTCGTTCCGCCACCCAACGATTCAACATATGTATGTGGCGTGGGACGTACCTTCCAGTCGGAAGATGCAAAAAGGCGGTTCGTGGTCTATCTGAGGCTTGAACTCAGGACCTTCGCATAGATTGCATCGCAAATGCAAGTATAAGAACGACGTGATAACCAACTACACCAATAGACCATCCTGTTTGTTGGTGTTGCACTCGTGTTATTGTTACTCATCTACCCCTGAGATGTGGGGGGGTCGGATGATGTCAGAAGGAGACTACATTCTACCAGAGTAGAGGTGAATCACGAGTGATGTGGTGTGAGCACCGTTTGATGGTCTTTGGCAAGAGGGTGCGGCACGGTACCATTCGTGCGCGGTCTCATGATTCTGTGTGCCTGGGATGCTTTTAGAGTGGTCGCAAATTGAAGCTAATATATACATTCATCTGTATGCCGTAGCAATCCCAAGTGGCTATCTTGCAGTGCTCATTTGCTCACTTCTTCGGCCTCCGCCAACTCGACCAGGACGGAAAGCAAGCATCTATCCGCCTAAGCGCGAGGCCACGGCTCCAATTGCCCGTCTCATTTTCGTATAGACTTGAGCAATGGCGCGATTCGCGACTTCTTGCTCAAACCTACACGATATGGGACCTTGGGTACCGCCGCCTGATTGCTCAACGGCACAGCCTTCTTCACTTCCTTCTTCTCTTCAACCGTCTCCACCCTGGGTGGCGTCGTAGCTGGCTTTTCCGCTGGCTCGTTTTCCTTCATGTCACCGTCGTAATCGTCGTCATCATCACTGGCGTTAATTACCAACTTGGGGGTCGAGGAGGGCCGGGAATTCTGAGGCAGCTCTGCTAGGGCTGGAACTGGTTCTGGCTCAGGTCCAACCTGTTCTTCCTCTTCCTCTTGGACGTGTTCCGCTGACTTAGGAGCTTCCTCTTTCTTCTTTCTTCCCCTCCTCACCCGCTTTGCCGTGGAAGCCGGAGGTGCCGGGGTTGCCTCATCGGCATCATTTGTGAACTTTACCGGAGGATCAGGCTCTGGTACTGTAGATTTGCGCGGTCGACCTCGTCTTTTCTTGGCTGGCGGCTCTGTATCTTCAACAATCGCAGTCTCGCTCACGACTACTGGATCATCCTCCTGTACGGAGTTATCCGCATCGTCCATGGGGATTGGCTCTTTCTTTTTCCGACCCCTTTTCTTCTTAGGCGCTTGAGTAGAACCATCCAACTGTTCGTTGTCGTTGGTAGGCGCGAGGCTGAAGTCAGGGTCAGGATTAGGGTCGAACGTAGATATATCGTCTTGAGGCGATGGATCTGGCTGATGATCATTGATGGTGTGATCTAATGGACTCGGCTGCAACTCGTCATCTTCCTTGAGTTGAACTGCTTTGCGTCTTGACCCTCGACGTCGACCTGGCGTGTCATCCAAAACTGTGCGAGTGCCATCCTCGATATTGAGTTGAGTGTGCTGATATTCGGCGGACTTCCTTTTTTTCGCGCTCCGAGTTTCCAGAGGCGGCTCCTGTGGCCGACCCCGCTTGGCCGTCCTCGGTTCTTCAGAAATCACGTCCGGGGACGAGGAGGGTTCATGTTCTGGGGCCTGCACTGGCAATACCTCGTGTCCAGCTGTACTTGGCAGAGCATCGGGATCAGCCATGTTAGGCAGAGCGTCAGGATCCGCAGTGCTCGGTATCTCCGTCCTCTTGCCTGATGAAGCAAACCGGCTCGGCGTCGAGTAGGCGATCGTCGTCGCCATACTTGACTTCTGCAGCTGCTGCTCCCCTGCTGACAAAACAGGAAGGGCTGGTTCCAAGGTGTCCTGTCTTGGGTCCGAAGACAAAGCGACCACTTCATACTGCTGCTTTTGACTTGCTGTCAGGGCACTTGGTGCGATGTACAAGCCGGTGTCGGGGATGAGGGAGTCAGACCCCATGCTGCGAAAGCTCGGGCGTTTCTTCCTCGAGGATCTCCTTTGGGAAGAACCATTCTCCTCGGTCTGTGGGATGAGCATCACCGGACTAGAGTCCGACCCTAGCGTTGGCAATGGGCTTTGCATGCCGCGTGTCTTCCTGGTGGTCTGCGCCGGTGAGGGATCCGCCATGCTGGGGAATACGTACGGGTCCTGACCAGGCTGGGAACTTTTCGGTTGCTGGTTGGTGCGCTTGCGTCTTCCATAGGTTTTCAGCTGATGAGATGCCGACTTGGTCTCAGGGCTACTAGGCACATCCCACGGGTCGACCTCCTTGCTTGCAATCTCCCTCCTAGGGGTGGTAACTTGGGTCAAAGTCAGGTCGATTACGTCCTTCTTCTGCGCATCTTTAGACTTCGTCAACTTCCGAGATGCGGTGCCGGGGTCAGTTATAGATGTGAGCGACGAGGACCCTTTCGGTTGTGACCGAGGCTGGGACAATGACATGTCGGCTTCAGGGGCGGGCCCAAGGTAGGAGACATTTCCAGCTGCTGCCGCTGCCCGCTGCTCTTCGTAGACGCGCTGGAAAAAGGAAGGATCTGTGGATTTGAGACTGCTGGTGGTGGTGGCGGCATTATCCTCATGTGGCTCCTCGGCGCGGGGTTGTTCCGGGTTCTCTGCGTCGAGCGCATTCCCATTGATGTGGAACGGGCTGCCATCAAACGCCTCCTTGATAGGACTGAAGTCGCTCCCGTCGTCCTCGGAGTCGAGGATTTCCATTCTGGGCGCCATTGGACAGAATCTGGTGATTAAAGCATGGCCTGGATTTGCGCCCCTCGAAGTGCAAACACTTTGGTCGAAGGCGCGCGTCGCGTCGCGTAGTCATGTGCGAGGCGTACATCGCAGTTGACAGCTTAGTCAGCGACCCTGCGAGACGGGTGCAAGACCGCCACGAAGTTGAGCTGTAGCTGCGGTGGTCTGTGCATGACACCCTAATGAGCTTGGACCACTCAGGCCCCTTGCAGAAGGACAACGCCCCTTCATCTGAAGATCGCGTCGTGATTTGGAGCTTCGGCTCTGCATTCCCCCAAAACCTCTTCGTTGGCGTGTTCTGCCTTGATGTTGTTGTCGCCTCCAAGCATTCTATCCACGCGCTGTCTCTGTTCCCTAGACCTGGAAAGCTGCAACTTTGAAGATTGTATAAACGCCAGGGCGTCATCTGAGCGACCCATAGCAACAAACCGGCCCGCCCCGTCTCGCGCCCGAAATTGAGAATCTCCATCACAGCGACCTCCGCCGACGAACCGCTGCTACCAAACACTGCTCCTGAGGCCGCCCCTTCTAGTAACGGTCACATCGCCAGAATCGAGTTTGGCTGGGAACACAACCACCCGGTCGCGCTGCAGAGGCCAGCCGGCATCATGTCGGACTCGCTGCTGAACGTGCCCATTGTGCTCGACAACGGGTCTGGCACCATCCGAGCAGGCTTCGCTGGCGATGACGTACCAAAATGCGTTTTTCCTTCGTTTGTAGGGAGACCAAAGCATACCCGGGTCCTTGCAGGCGCCCTAGAAGGGGACGTCTTCATCGGCCAGAAGGCCGCGACAGAGCTGCGAGGGCTGCTCAAGATCAATTATCCACTCGAACATGGCATTGTGACGGACTGGGATGATATGGACAAGATTTGGAGCTACGTCTACGATGAAGGGCTGAAAACTCTCAGCGAAGAGGTGAGCGCTTCCTTCAAGGCTGGCAACCTGCCGTGCTAACTGGCTCGCGTGACCAACAGCATCCCGTCCTCCTCACAGAAGCACCCCTCAACCCTCGTGCAAATCGCGACATGGCAGCGCAGTATCTTTTCGAGACATACAATGTACCAGCTCTCTACATCTCTATCCAGGCGGTTCTCTCCCTCTACGCTAGCGGCCGGACGACGGGTGTCGTACTTGATGCAGGAGACGGCGTGTCCCACGCTGTACCCGTCTTTCAGGGGTTTACCGTGCCGAACAGTATCCGGAGGATAGATGTTGCCGGCCGCGATGTTACAGAGCACCTCCAACAACTGCTGCGGAAGAATGGCTATGTTTTCCATACCAGCGCAGAAAAGGAAGTGGTGCGGCTGATCAAGGAGTCTGTCTCGTATGTCGCAAAGGACCCGAAGAAGGAAGAGAAGGAATGGGCAGCCGCGAAGACAGACCCATCTAAACTTGCGGAATATGTTCTGCCAGACGGGAACAAGCTCAAGGTACGGTTGTCCCCTAAAACCACAATGGTGAGGTCTACACAGCAGCTCAAGATGCTAACTGCATCTCTAGATTGGGCCCGAACGATTCCGCGCTCCAGAAATTCTGTTCAACCCCGAGATTATCGGGACGGAGTACCCCGGTGTGCACCAGATGGTGGTGGACTCGATCAACAGAACAGACCTCGACCTACGTAAGAACCTCTACGCCAACATCGTTCTTTCAGGCGGCACCACCCTCACCAAGGGTTTCGGCGACCGACTACTCAGTGAGATACAGCGTGTCGCTGTCAAGGACATGAGGATAAAGATTTTTGCACCGCCCGAACGCAAGTACTCGACCTGGATCGGTGGCAGTATCCTCGGTGGTCTAAGCACCTTCAAAAAGGTTCGTGCATGTCCATCACTGCGGGACTGAATGGCAATATCAAGAATAACGTGCTGACGCCTTGCAGATGTGGGTCAGCCTTGATGATTGGCATGAGGATCCGGATATCATCCACAAAAAGTTTAACTGAGAGGAGTCATTGACTGCTGGGATAACTCGGTCCTCCGGAATAGACATATCCAGAGGTTTTGGTAGCGCCTCATTATGGATTGGAGGGTCACCGACTGGACTTCACTCTCGTGGGTCGAGCTAAACCGTGATTCTCGAGGGCGAGCAAGACTTGTTAGCCGCTTGCAAGGTTGCAATGTTGGTGTTGTGAGAAGAACAAGGGCGCAGGGCAAACCGCAACAGAGTTGGGGGCTTTCGGAGTCGTGCGAAGGCAGGGCCAGCCAGCCCCAGAGATGCGGCGGATAATTCCTCGGCAGGTTGCAAGAGCCTTTACTGTGGTACGTTTTTAGAGTAAGAAAACCGGAAATGATACCCAATCTTAAGCGTTGCGAATCCATCGAGTCACTTTCAACGAGACAGTCAGGTTCGAGGTGATAATTCATAGATTATATCACTTTAAACTGCCAAAGATATATCTCCGTTCTTCGCCGCCATCGCTTCTCGCGCTATGGGGAGGGGTATCAAAAATCACCAGATCCAA